ATAGCGATGCTAGCTTCCTAGTAGGGGAAGAGAGTCGACTCTGCTATGCCTGGCAAAGCGAAAGTTCTGCGAAAAGGGCTCAGGGCATGTGAGAATATCATAGACTTCGTAACAGCACGTAACGCTAAGATGCTCAATAGATACCAAGCAATGCGATGCGTGATTCGTGACTCGTCACATTCCTCCTCTTATCCAGCTCTTTCCCAAGCGCATGCTCAAACAGTGTATCCAACCAAAATAACTCCTAACATGTCCTGGTATATATTCATCCCTCTTCGTCTCTGCGTCGCTGCCTTCTACTACATGACGGTGCATGGGATGACGCAGCACTGGCAATCGTCACCGCACCAGCATGGCGCCTTGACGGGACCAGGCTTGACGATAGACGTCGTGCTCGAAGTTGTAGACGCGGGCATATTTGCTGATTATAGAGAGAGATCCGCGACGGATAAATGCGATACGATGTTATGCGGCGCGACGCGATGCCCGATAGAGTGGTAAAGGCGGCGATGAAGGATGCGATGTGGACGCAAGGGGGATGACGTCTCAAGCACTACCAGACCATTAGCGAACATCTCCATCAAACTTGGGTCCTGCACGTACAGATGAAATGCGATATATACAACAAGAATGATATGTCCAGGAACAGATATGCGACAATGAGAGTGGGTGCACGAAAGCAGAGATGAGGTTTACAGGGCAGCAGGCCTTCGGATATACTTAAGTGACGCCATGTTGCCGCGCGCCACAACTGCCATGTTCCAGCCCTGCACGCCCGGCCGAACTAGCTTCAGATGGGGCCGCTTGGCGCTGGTGTATCTTGACATTGGATGTTATTAGAACATAGACGCGCGACTCGAGTTACAAGAAGCGCCGGTGGGTGATAAGAGACGAGTAGTACGAGCAGAGGAATCCGGACTTGATGTACGTTATGAATAAGTTGTTTAGTTCAAGATGTAGGTATTGGTATAAAGCCATCAATCCAATGCAACACTCCAGAAGACTCCAAACCCCAGATCAAAGCTCTCAAAGCCTCATTGCCTTGAGCGCATGGTGTCGCTTTCGCTATACCTAAGGAGGTCGCTCAAAATATCTCAAAAACACCTTATGCCAATCATCGTTCCCTTATCGTGCCCGTCGCCTGACGCGTGCCGTCGGTCACCGCTCCGGCACGCGCACATGCTATCGTCGGTCGAAGCCGTATGCGGCTCTTCATATTGTCGTCGCCTTTACATGACAGTGCAAGGAATGCAGCAGCAACTGCAGTCATCGGTGCTGATGCAGCTGCACTTTCCGCCCTGAGGCTTAACGATCGAGCCGGCGGCCGAAGAGACAGAGTTGGTAGAGGCAGGCATTGCGAGATATATAGATGCGTGGATCGCGCGCGTTCAGGAAGCGTTATGACTCGGAGGATGGCGGTCGCGGGTTCGTGACTGTTGGTTCAGAAAGATGACGGAGTTGCGCTGCGATGACGTTAGCGGTGTTCGCAGCCACAAGATCAGGACTGGAACTTACAGTTTGTGCGATGAAGGTGCGTGAAAGGTGAGGGTTGTAGCGGGATAGTAGGCAGTGGTATCGAGGAGGCAAAGGGGAGATTAATACGGTCGCAGAGGGCATCCAGCCCTGCTTCAATGCTGCGCGTGGCGCTAGGCCAATGACAGGCCGACGCTAGGGGCTGCATGACGTCGCCCGCGTGGCAGTGAACGTGGCTAATGCCGCGCGTTCGGTCAGAGGCGCGCGCGGGGCATGCAGAAGATGGAAATGCATGGCAGATGGTGTGGAAATGTTGTATTGAGATCTATCCAGATGGCGAAATTGTAGGAAAGGGTATTGCTAAACATGAGATGAGGAAAGCCCAACACCGTGTCTCGCCGTGAACATGCAGGTCTTGTTCGCATAGCGCCTTGTGTGGATTAGACGTCCCTCCAGGTCGGTTGGCCCTTCTCTGTGAATGGTGTTTTGACGGCTGTGGCATGTTAGCTAGGCCAAAGAGAGTGTTTTCAGTAGTCTTACCATTACTGTCTCCGAAGGGGTCATCCTCATCCTCCTCTGGCTCACTGTCTGGTTCGACGCGCTGCGGAGGCATGGGGATGCTCGTGGGCCTAGGCGGCTTCGGAGGGGCAGACTCATTCAGACCCATACTACCCATCGCAGCTTCAGCAGCAGACACGTTACCCTCTTCGTTATCACTATCGCTGTCGTCGTCGATGCTCTTGTCCATAAGCTCGAAGGCCATGAGGCCCTTGACTAGCTCGTCGTTGGCGTTGAGAAGACCGCCAATGTACTGCTCGGACTCGACCAAGTGGATGTATCGCAAGATCTGGCGACGCAGTTGCTTGCACGTCTCAAAACGTCGCATGACTTCCGCGTTCTCGCTGACACGCTGTTGCTCTCGGTTGATGAGTTGTAGGCCGTTCAGCAGATTCGTACTGGCGACGTTTGCCGATGCCATCGTCTCAAGCATCTGACCCTTCTCCTTTTCCAGGTTGAACGGCTGCCCCTTGGTCTTCTTCTTGTCTTTCTTATCCCTCTTGAATAGCGAAGTGGTTGGAAGAGGGGTACCAGCACCGAGTACAACAGGTGTGGTCGTCCGTGAAGATGACGTATGGGGTGGCTCCGGCCGCCTGCTTCTAGGAGGAGACTGCGAATGCTCCTCACGCTCGCGCGCAGCTTCGGCATCTTGCTGTCGCACAATCCGAGATTGTTGTGGCTGGGGACGCTTGGTACGAGGAAGTTCTTTGTGTAGTGCAGCTATCCGCTCAAGGCCAGGCGTTCCCTTGTATGCGACAGCCCAACTTCGGAACAGAACGTTGGCCTTCTGCCGAACTTCAGCATCGACTGTGTCGTCCCTAGCCAGGATGCGGAGTCGCTCAAGAAGTGGCTCATCCGCGAACGCTTTCTGGAATCTAGTTCCAGCATTCTGAATCAGAGCGTCCATTATGACAAGGGCGCGGATCTGGCGATGTACATTTCCATACTTGCTGCGGACTTATTAGTTCATGTTGTGGATGTGCGAGAATCTGGCTTACAGCTTCTTTCGCAGAGCTCGTGCTGCTTCCGTAGGACCAGATGCCTGGATGCGGATGACCTCGATGAGATCAACGACACCACCGACATCCTGTACTAATTAGCAAGAGACATGCAATCTTAACAGGACAACTTACATTCTCCTCGTATTGCTCGCTCGTCAATCGATCGATCTGGACCGTGACAGCCGAGAAAGCGTGCTTCTACGTTTGATCCATGTTCTTAGTACCGTGTGACAGTGTTCAAAGAAGCATAGCGGGCAGGGGTTCTCGAATATCGGAAGGTCCGCGTATGCTTTGGGGTCCTTGTGGTGATGAAGTGTTTTGCGAGGGGGTTCGATTGAAGCCTCGACTGACGACTCGCTTGACAATGACAGACTTTTGCGGTACAAAGGAAGTGCTTGCAGTTCAGAAGATGCACTGCTATACGAAGAAGAAGTTCTACGAAGCGTCTCTCCGTAGAGAAGCGGTTGTCCGTCGTACCAAGAAGCGTGGGAAATCATGACTACGGTAGGAATGGTGATTTGAAGGATGAATGAAACGGGGCTGCTGCGGAAGAGAACATGGTATTTGAACGCTCTTAAGGAGAAACGAGTCTGAAGAAGAACTTACAGGCATCGTACGTTTGTCGCTTCGTTTGACCCTTCAGGGTAAGACCTGCTATATTTGGGAGGCGAGAAAAACAAAGCACCCCGAACAGGATGTTTGCTTGGCTGTCAGAACGAATCTGGACAGAATCAGGGTCTGGTGTTTGCACCACGGTCTGAGAAAGGTCGGAGGGTCGGTCTGGAAGGAGAGAGCCAGTGTTACAGATAAGAATAGAACACTCGGGGTTCAACGGAACATGTGTTGACGAGAGGTGCAAGGTTTGCAGGAAGTCAGAGCTGGTGGCAGAGCTTCGTAGCGGAAGTCTAAGTAGTAATGGTTGCCTATGCGCACGCGATAAGATGAAGCTATGGTTGCTTGGTCGGGCGCAAGCCCCCCGCAGTGGGGTGGCTTTGGGCTGAGTAAGGGACCATGGAAGTCGCGACCCACCACACCAACCCTCTTCACCTCATCTCTCACTCCGCTTCCATATCGTGTCGCTTCACGCATAGAGTCAGCATGGATGCATCGAACGCGCTGCATCACGATGGGGACACGGGGACAACGAGAGAACGAACTGGTGATGACGCGTGAGAGACCCGACGCGCGCTCACTCACCCTCTCTCACCACACGTTGCTTTTATCTCATATCGCTTGAACTAACCTGAAGTATGCAGATGCACTCACATTCGCTCGTCAACTTCTAGTTTCACGGCCATCAATCAGCCCTCGACGCAGTTTTCGACGCCTCCCTCGTCAACCGCGGCACCCGTGCAGCAGAACCAGGCGCGCCGGAGAGCCGCCGTGCACGAGCGACGGCGACACAATTCTACTGTTGCGCGCTATCTTGGTCTTGGTGGCGCGGACGAGCCAACGCATCTCGAAATACGTGCTCCTTCGCCGGCAGTACCGAGTAGCCCGCCTCCGAAACCTCGACGCAAGCGACCTCGGTTGGCCGCTCAAGGGAACAAACCAGATGGCAGACGCGTGAATCTGGAAGGAAACGGGCTCCCAGAACAACATCGAGTATCGGAGAGCTTTCGGGTAACAAAATCTACACGCAATTCCGCGACCTCTAGATCTAAGGCTCGGCTGTCGACGAGAACGCAGTCCATATTTGTTGACGATGCGCAAACCCAACGATCGACAACAACCGGCAACGGAACGGCGGTTTCACACCAGGACAGTATCAGTCAAGCCTGCAATGTGACAGATCATGGTTTCGCGAGTCCTGAAACCATACGAAATGTTAGCCAGGATACAGTAGCTACATTGCCTGTGCAGCATCCGACCTCACTCTGCGAATTTGATTTCGACGATAACGACTTTGATACCAGTGAACCTGAACAAGTTGATGCGTCCCTGGTACCACATCAGATTGAGAACTCGATGCTTACGCAAGACGACTTCGACTTTGACATCAACGATGACGACCTGCTCACATTGACATCCGAAATTGACGACGCATGTCCTGACCTTGCAAATCCTGCTTTGAACCGCTCTGTGCAGCCCAGGGACAAGGGCGATGACAGACTGCATCACCCTCCCGGCACCTCTGCGGATGCCCCTATCATACTTGATGAAAGAAGTCCTAACAAGAAGACCTATCAGCCCGTGTCAAAGCAGTTCACTTCCCCGGTCACTCTCACGACGCGCCTGCAAGCCGCAACTGGCGATCTAGGTTCATCGAAGATACGCAAACCATTTGTCAGGCCACCATTTCCAGAGGCTGTCCGTGATCGCTCACCCATCATCGGTCTTTCGTCAAACCTACTGCTCAGGACATGTTTCCGCATCGGTGAAGTGATTAACCAAAGCTGTCAGGCATCCAAATCAGGGAAGCACATCATGATTGAGATGTATGCCAGAGTGCTTGCTTCTGAGCGGACTAGTACGGAGCAGCAGTTCACCTTCTGCGACCTCTTCCACGCCAAGCCACCTTACATCAAGGCAGTGTATAATGCTGCTATCTGGAAGTCGGTGCAGCTCTTCGAGTACGACAGCAGAAGACTGTTACAGCAAGGGCGGATCTGCCGCTGCATTGGCACCATGAAGCGCGAGGATAAGGAATGGACAATGACAATCCTCAACATCTGGGAAGCAACTTGGGAGGACATCGAGTGGGTGCAAGGAATTGTGGACTCTTAGCAATAGCATGAGAAGAGTGTTCAGGGGTACGAAGGCACGGGTGATCTATGGGTGGCCTACGCGTCATGATCAACATCATACCGAAGGCGTATGGAAGTTGTTAATATGTTTCGTATAGTACTACAGTTGATGCAAACAGCCTTTGCTACAAAAGTTTCAACTTTAGAGATGTTTAGAGGGCGTGGTTGTAGGTAAAGCCTCACAGCATGGTTCACCCTTGACGGTGGCTTGCACGTGACGAGAGGCCCCGCTTCGTGACATTGACGTTCAACGGACGGGCCATTCACCAGTCCCGACAAATTGACTCTGATCACAGCGCGTTGCTGAGAGAATGCGTTTCAGGTCGCTTCCTGTCATATCAACCTTCCACCTCAATGTTGACGATGACGCCAGACATCGGTAGCGAGCGCAGTACCGCCGAACAGGGCGAGGGAGGCATGATGGAGTCGCAACCTCAACTGGCGACAACGCCGTCAAAGACGAATTCGCCCAAAGCACGGTCGCTCTCGGACAGCACGCCCCGTCTTGAGCCCTCTCCGAAATTCCGCGAACCCGCTCGCATGTCCAAAGATGATCAGACCATCGTCGCCAGCCCCAGCACACCGCGTCGACCCGACTTCCTCTCGCGAGGCCTGTCGCTGCAAATGCCTGCGCGAGAGTCGCCCATGCCCAGTCCCGCCCACTTCGCTGCCCGTGTGCCCCTCTCGCCCCAGCTAGATTCGCGCAACACGTACGCGTCGCCTGCCTCTGTGCTGCCCCGACGGTCGCGCGGTGCCGAGTTCTCGAGAGCCTGCACCAACCTCCACCACTCGACCCTCCCCGACCAATCCTCGCCGGATTCCTCGCCGACCATCACGCAGAAGGGCATCAAGATACCGCCGCGGAAGCCTCGCTCCAACTCGATGCTGCTCGACTCGCCCAATGTGAGCATGCAAGGGGGCTGGAGCCATGGCGATAGAACCGCCCCGTCCAGTTCAGTCGGCAGCATCAACATGATGGGCTCGGAGGATTCTAGCAGCTCTTCGGACGAGGTGGATCCACTGGACCCTGAGGACAACGACGACCCCATGATCATGACCCCGCAGGCGAAGACCAACACTCTCTTCCCAGGACTCAATACCGGTAACGCTTGGTCGAACTTGTTTTCGCCCGGTGGACAGCCCAACTTTGCGAGCATGCACAGGGCAAGGTTGCGTAAGGGTCGAAGCCGGAAGAGCTCCAGCTCGGCCAGCGGACACAGCTCCATGGCAAGCCCTGGGCCAGCATCGCCGCCAAACGGCAAAGACACGGGTTACTTTGCGCGGGAAGCGGCTATGCGGAAAGCGGGATCGCGACGAGAGAGCCTGTCACTCTTTGCCAACGACCTTCACATCTCGTCTGGCAATGACAGTGGAGATGAGGGCGGTAATCTGCCCCAGACTCCAGGTGTGGTGAGGCGGGTTGTCACACGGAGAGGCAATCTACTGGTATGTACTCTTCCATTGTCACGCAGACATCAGATGCTAACTTTACTAGCCCAAATCGAGGCAATTCGGTCGCATCCGAGCGGAGCTATTCGAAGAAGCCGCACCTGTTGATAGCGAGTTCCGCCGCGAAGCCGAGATCATACGACAAGTGAGAGAGAGTGACACGGATCTGGAGCGGCCTTCTAATACAGCGCAATCATCGCCAAATCTACTACCCACAGTACCCGGGCTGGACGGTCCGCTCGAGGGTGTGCCGGAAGAGGGCAGCGAGAGCAACATGAGTCTGGACGGATCAACGTCTAAGGGACTTTTCGGTGCATTTGGTAGTCTTCACAGTGGTCGCAACTCGATAAGCAACGGATTCTGGAACCAACGCGCCGCACATACTCCACCGCCATCCTTCCCTCGTGCAGAGTCATCCGCAATGAGCGAGGACATGAACATGGACTCGCCCTCTATGAATGGTGGAGCATCACGAGCATCTACACCAGGTCCAATGCAGCCTCCCACAGCGGCTGAGGCGTTGAAGAAGTCGAACAAACGCCGACGAGACGACGACTTTGACGAAGCCTCAATCAAACGGCGTGCAGTCTCACCAGGCCTCAGTGTCCATAACAGCCCGGTCATCTCGCAGTCGCCCGCACAGAGGGACAGCAGTCTTTGGGGCACAAATACCAAAGCCAGTCGGGAGACATCGATCAGCGGTCAGTCACACGGTGAGCGTTCAAACAGTGGGGGCAGCATGAGCATGACACCGACACTGGGCCCAAAGCGGATAGGTCTGCAGGGCATGACAGATACCAATGACGGGTTGATGAAGATGAGCATCGAGTGATGGACATACATGACATCTTGTAGGATATTGTTAGCATTGATCAAGGCTTAGCGCGGCGTTCCAGGGTTAATGAGGCCAACGATGGTTGCTCGATATATATAGATACCCATTGTCGATTTCCAAATTCAATATGAATCAAGAACTGCGAATAACGTCCGCGTGCACTGCGATGTTGACGTAGCTTCCTCCGCAATCGACTATGGGCACATGGATGTTTGACCCCTGCTCGCCCTGCTGGCCCTTGCCCCACTAAGCGGCTGCGCGCCTCGACGTCCGCCCGCAACTCCACGACGCGCCAAACAATTGAGACAACCACAGAAGCATAACCGCCCTCTACTACATAGCCAAATCGCAGCTATGTCACGCACAGCAGCTCTCTCCTCCTTCATCGACAGCGCGCCGCCTGGCGAGGTACTTCCCCCGCCAAAACAGAGCTCCCTCCCACCAGTACACCTGCTAACAGCACCACAGCTCGCCGATGTCACCAAGGCAATCAAGTCAATCCTCGGCGACGACGCCGTCCAAAACGAGCTCTCGCCCGCCTTCCAAAAGTATAACGAGGAGCAATTCACCACAACGAAGCTCCCCGGCGGCAGCACCGAGGTCCTCGTCAGCCAGTACAACTCATTAGGCGACGGCCGCTACTACGACATCGACACACAAAGCTCCTTCGACTTCGACCATGCCACAGGCAAAGCCAGCGCTGTGCAGAGTTACGTCGTAGAAAGCGCACAAGAAGAGCTCCTGTACGTTCCGCCCCGCCCCTCCCTCGCCAAGCCAATCCCGCGCGCATCCCTCGTGCACACCCATTGGCTACCAACACACCCATGCCGCATAAAAGCTTAACCTAACCTCACCCCAACAGCAAGAGCCTGAACAAGTCCCTCAGCACCCACGCCTCAGAACACTACCCCAAGTCTTCTCACGGCGTATACCCCGTGCCCTCCTCCCCTTCCTCCCTCGCCATCATCACGGTCGCAAACAAGTACTCACCCACAAACTACTGGAACGGCCGCTGGCGCAGCTCCTACATCTACGACACGTCCTCCGGCTCCATCACCGGCAGCATAAAAGTCGACGTGCACTACTACGAAGACGGCAACGTGCGTCTGCTTACGACCAAGGAGGTGAGTCTCAGTGCGGGGGCCAGTGCGAACGGAAGCGAGGTTGTGAGGAAGATTGCGGCCGAGGAGAAGAAGTATCAGGAGGATCTTAACAGGGCGTTTGGTAGTCTGAGTGAGGGTGCGTTCAAGGCGCTGAGGAGGCAGTTGCCGATTACGAGGCAGAAGATTGAGTGGGAGAAGATTAGTGGGTATAGGTTGGGCCAGGATATTGGTGGTGGGAGGAGGTGAGGGCATGTTGCCTCCCGGTGAGATTTGGAGATGGAGGGGGTTAGTGGATGAGATGTGTGGGGGTGTAGCTTGGTGTATTGAGGGATCGCTGAATGTGATGGCTGTAGCACTTGGTATGATATTTGTGGCTGCTCACTCCGATAACCTCGCTCGCGTGCTTGCTAGGTAAGACATGGTGTCTTGGAACGTTTCTGGTATATGTGGGCGGCGAGACCAGCTTCGCCGACCACATCATATTGTCATGCTGAAGGCATGCCGCTTCTGCACTGAGGTCGTGGAAGGGCGGGCCCCACCATCTTCAGTACACATGAGGCGATAGTGACTTTCCAGTTACGTCGGGTAGTCACAGTGTGGAGCGCACCTTGTTGGGCCGTCCATTCAGATGGTGTCAGTCATGGTCCCGCTTCCTCTATTGTCACTATTCGTTTGTCTTTTAAGCATCACTTTGTCTCACGAGAGCGTTGAAGTTGCGGGAGTTGCGCACAGTTCGATCTTCTCCGTGCTGTTTGCTTTGCTTGTCCTGTTCTGTGCTCCCTTGTCTGCCTATGTGGCTCTGCGGTGTCGCTCGCTGGCTGATGCAGTGCTTGCGGAGTACGGGGGCGCTGCATTTCATGAGATCTTGGGGTCCTATCATGATGGTCTAGGTGTGGGTTTTACACTGCGTGTCGTTGGGTGTGGCAATACATGAGGAAGGAGAGGATGAGAAAGAAGAAGGTAGGATGATACACTCAAAAGTGGTATTGTTAACGAGGTGGCTAGTGACGGTAGCGTCGGCGAACATGTGATATAGTTTGGAACACATTCCATAGTCCATGTACAGGTATAAATAGTTTTGGATACGATCTACAGTTCAACGAAAGGCGTTCATGTAGGCGACTGCTTGTCAAGTACAAAACTAACACAGGACTATCATGACTACCAGGCATACCAGATGGCCAGAGACGCGCTCAAAGCGGCGCCTAAAATGATACGAGAAGACGAGTAAATACTCGAGGCAGCACCCCATTTCGCAGACAATAAACATCGGCCTGACTGATCCCTTTCCCTTGTGCCTGGTAGGAGGTAGAAGCTGCGGACATCATACTCGATCGTGCCGCAGTTTCCATCTCTGTCACTGACGCAGTCGTAGCCATACCAGGGAAGTAGTGGTGGCATGGTGGCGTCGCTGTTCGGGTCCGCGTTGTAACAGTCTTTAGCAGGGTAAATGTTCACGCGGCGATCTGCGTACTGCTCGGCTGCTTCGGCTCCTGGCACGTGTAGGTGGTAGAGAACATTGGTGTAGTTCGCTTGGGGGTTGTATAATGCGGCGTTCTCTACGGACCAGTTGATGCCTGCCGTGGCTGAGAAGGGTGGGTAGGCGCTTTGGTTGACGAAACCTTGGGTGGTGTTTCCGCCGAAGATATCTTCTAGGTTGAAGCAATGATCCATGGTGGGAATGCTCGATGAGGTAAACGTCAGGGCTTCACTGCTGTTGCGGAAAGAGCAGGTGTCATCTTGGCTCTCCGTGAAGAAGCGCAAGGTCAAATTGGCGGCACTGCGGAGAATAAGTCGACGAGTTCAATAGATGCGGACGGTAGGTGACACGTACCTTTGTACTTTGAAAGGATACAACAGTAGAGCGACTGATGCCAGTCTACAGGTATTTAGGAACTGCATCGCGAAGGGATGCCCAGGCGATGTATGTCCAGGTAGTCTTGTGCGCGTGATGATTTCGGGGCGTTGTTATCAGTAAACGATAGCCTGCAAACAAGCTGAACGTTTGTGCAACAGAGAGTAGAGAAGCTCCGAAGCCCTCATCCAGATGCCATATTTCTTTGGGGAGGCCTAGCATAATAGGGTTGCAGTCTGCCAAGTCGACTGCGTCCACGGGTAAAATCGTCCTCATCCACCGGATACTCCGCTCATTAGATTGCAACCACACCTGGGCATCATGCATGAGCCGATATCCGTAGGACGGCGCCCGGTTAAGTTGGAATGCCCGTTTCAGCAATGCTCTACTGCCGTCCACTATGATGTGGCGTGGTGCCAAGCTACGGGATGCATCCCGAGGTCGCCAAGCTCCCGCTCGCCCCGCGGGCCAAGATGCTTATGTGGCACAGTTCGCTAGGCGCTGTGTCACGAGGCTTGGCAGCTCCAATCACACCTTCCAATTAATCACGCCCGACGGCTCTATCCCCAACTGCATAAAACTGAAGGCACCTGCCGACTTATCCATCTTGGTAAAGGGCCAAGATGAGCCCAAGAGAAAGTGCCAATGGGTGTGATAGCCACTGATATCGCGCGCTGCATAACCGGGCCGGCACGCCCACGAGCGTTGCCGTTGGCTCGGATCGTATGTACGGCCTTCGGCTGAAGCCGAAGGCCGACGTCATCTTGTAACGTTCATCACGAAGGGTATCTAAGTATCTGTCTCTTGACTGCGGACTCTTCGAATTGGTACCCAACCGGATACGTACCTACCTAGGTAGGTACTCGTGCTGTAGAGTGCCCCGGCGAAGGCGTACCTGCCTGGGTATGCAATAGAAGTTGAGTGGTGATAGACACCTCGGCACTCAACATATTCCTTTCACTGTGGAGTGGCTCTGTGTAACTACTATTTCGGCTGTGGGCCATGGGAAGGATGATGCCCTTGTTAATATGAGGGCAGGATCTTCAACTATGAATCACGCCGCTCTTTCCATCTTGGCTTACTTCGTACTCCAGTGACAACTTTGTGTCCGTTCGTGGCATATGCAACGCTGCCGACTCTAGTCAAACTACCCGAGCTGTAGCCGCATTGCATGCATTAAGCTTCTCATGCATGATATGAAGAAGTTATCGCATCTATTCTAGCTCGAGAAGATGACACCTGGCGGAGGACGATCTTGGCGGAAGATGATCTTGGTGACACAATGTTTCTTGGTGACAGACCCATCGGCAATATGACGATATCTTGTGACTTTATCAACACACCAAGTAAGGATCGCTGTACATCCTTGACTACACTGCATCGGAGATGCTGCATGGCATGCCGGTGATGCTTCTTGGCTTGGTAGTGTGTCCAGATGGATACTTTGGAAGCAGATGCCGAGATATCTGCTAGCCCGAAGTACTGTATGAGCGGGTACAAGGTACCGTAAGAGTATCACATACGAGTTATGAAAGCGGAGTCAAGATAGTGGGTCGATTCAAGGTAATTCTTCATAGACGCAATCACGTCGAAACTGATCTGCTACTACGTACGCTTCTCCAAGCTCGAACACTCATCCAAATAGCCTCACTGTGAGCCCATGCAGTTCCACACCAGTGGCCCAGTGGCTACTGGGAACGTGGTGCAATAGCCTCGGCAGATCTGCTCCACCCCATCCCCAGACTGCTCAGGCATGAAACACTCGTCCTCGCAGTCAGGCTCTATGCGTACATGTCAGATCATATCACTGAATAGTAAAGATCCACGCCAGGCTGCTTGAACTCACTGGATCCAAATGAATCGCCCACTCCGGATCTATCGCCGTCGATGCAGTCGGGAACTCCGTTCTGTCGTTTGACCGAAAGTGCGAAAGCACTTGTGAGGAAGATGCCAACCAGGCTAATAGAAAGTTTCATGTTGATCGAAAGTGAAGGCTGTGGAATTGACTTCTGGAATTGATTGAGATGTTGCGGAATTGATGCTCTGCACCAGCCGCTTCGAAGACGATATCCTTATACACCTTCGTGTGCACCACAATAGCACGCGTCCCATGACTTGACCCCGCCACAACCAATACTTCCAAGGTCTTGGATTCATTGAGATACGTTTTTGTTGAGCTGTAACCGAGCTATTCATCCGCTGGAAGCGAGCACGTGGAGTTCTGTTATGCACTTAGGCGCCAGGAATACATTTCACTCAACAGTTACCTAGGTAATTGCCCAATCCATGTGTGATTATACACCGAGCTCGCCGGAGGCACAGTCAACCTCGTACCACTTCAATCAATATGCTTACAGATATACGCTTGGCTGCGTGCGATTACGTGCACCATGATACCATCATGGCAGCATGCGGACACACGTGGGTTGTCGACAAAATCCGCCGTCAGATACTGCTCGCTTCTGGAAACAATCCTATATATTGATATGCCTCCGACCCCATCACTGCTTGCAAGTCTCATTCACTACTCATCAATATCATATTCACACGCGCAAAACATCATCAAGCTCAAGATGTCTGGCTTCTTCAACGCAATTGGCCTTGTCAGCGGTGCTTTGACAATCGTATCCTTTACCGAATCCCAACTACCCGACAATAAGCCCCAGGGTCCAAGCATCAGGATTAAAGGTAGGATACAGTTTAAAGTAGTATCGAAGACTCCACCGCTAACCGGGTATACTTTCTAGCCGGCCTTCACGGAGTGGGCGAAGAGTCTGAAAGTCTGGTAAGTTGCGCCCACAACAGTCTCTCCAAAAGACTGGTGAAGACTAAGAAGACTCTAGGGTGGCTCGATCGCCGCAGTGTACGCGTGGGGCGAAGGCAATCGCTTCAGCGGGCAGGCAGGCGGTTGTGGGATTGATCCTGGCAGCTTCTGCGATGTGACCGTAGACCAAGGCTCGGGTCGGCGAGCGGAGTACATTGGCGTGTCCAACAACGATGATGCCACTTGCATCGCCTGGATCAGCGTCAACCAAGCTGACGATACGGATGGAGGGGCTTGGACTGGCGACATTGGCCGCCACTGTGGCGGGAGGTGGTACAACAGCAGGTAGTCTGCAGGCAATCTCAAAGACAGCTCAAAGCCATACGTCCCCGCGTGTACTTGGCTCGACAAAGGTGAGTTCTGACTACGGAGGCATGTGAGACATATACTGACTTCGGACGTCTACCTCTGCAGACGAAACAAACGATATCGTGAACGCAGCACTCAAGTTCACTACCAATGCGTATGCTAGCAGTGTCCAGGAGGTCGCTGACGAGGAGAAAACATGCGATTCGACCATCTATGGAGGAGACAGTGGACCAATTGCAGGTATGTGTGTCCATGCCCGTATATACAAGACGATCAAACTAACCCTCTCCTGCAGCGCAACCCGCCAAACGAAGCATCCCTGAACGCCCTACATGGATGCACGAGTACCTCATCGTCTCCAACTGGACCAGCCAAACTGCCGCGGACCTCTGCAACTCTGCCACATCCTGGGGCCCCGACTTCATTGGATCCGACCATCAGTTCTGCGACATGAGCACAAAGACTCTTACTCCGCTTTGTTCACCCGAGACCGTCGGTAGCTCGGGCTGCGTTGATGTTGACGAGGACGCCGTCAGTGTGGTGAAGCGCACCAGCGTTGCAAGGCGGGCCGCGACGGTTTTGCACAAGTCTTACAAGAAGATTGAGAAGTGGGGAGTCTAAGGCTTCGGCCTCACACAATGGGGACAGGAAGATTGAAGGCTTTCCACTCGGATTGCTGCTAGGATTTCTTTTGGTTGGTCGGTGGGCCACATTGGAACTTACATACGTCGTGTGCGTACAAACATACATGCTGTCGCTACCATCCTACTGCCTTGATGCCACGTGATGTCATTGTTTGTATCTGCATTTCCAAGGGCGCTGCTGAGTTGGGAACACGTCCTGGAAGAACATTAGAGATGAAGTCTGAGGTCGGGAGCTCGGCGATAGAGGCTTGAGCCCCACATTTTCATGCGACCAATCTGCGTAGGCCGAGGTACCACATACCTGCGCTAACCTCTTGAGCGCAGGCGCCTGGACCCTGTTTCACCCGAGCCTTGTATACACTATTTCACATCGCTATTGCGACAGAGCTTGCGTTGCTGCAGATCTCAGCGCGGCTCAGACACGCTGAGGGTCTAGCGTGGACAGTGGGCCAGCGACTGGCTATGTTGTTACTGAATAGCTTAAACAGAATCACTGCAAGAGGCTTTGTAAACTCGGCCATCGAGCCCAGGTAGCCATATAGGATCCTTTGTTTAGTCAAAAGCCCAGAGGTCGTCCCCATTACCTGTTCCCACGATACATACTCATTGTGCAATCACTGCTGCGTTGCACGCAGATGCGATGCAAAAGATGCAGTATCCATCCCTTTTTGCAGCCTTCACGCTTCTGCACGAGAATTCCAAGACGCGATAAAATTCACAGCCTGCGGCTAACTACATGCAGTGGAACAAGGTCTGTAGTGAAGACACACGCGTTGTGATTGCCGAACATGAGGCCTCTGGGTGGTGAATGCGCAAGACGTAGCACTGTCACATTCAATAAATGGGTAAGTGGTAGCATATCTAGACTTGTAGTATCTGCATGTGCACGAGCACCGCGAAACGTCATGACATTATTTGCTGCCCACACTGGCGATTGGGAACCAGAGGGAACAGCGCGTACAGCGCTCTGGACCTAAATGAAAGAAGGCAATGCCGAAACAACATCAATGGCGATAGCAGCCACGTGTAAACGCCATGAAACCCTCACTCCCAACGCCTCAACCCCATCAAAAGCAAGACTTCATCTTGTCACTCTCATTTCGTGATGAAGCCCAAGTAATCAGCAACAATAAGCGTCACCATCCTATCACTCTCGTTAGCACACATTCTCACATCAAGCCAAGGGACAAAAACTTACGCATGCGGCGCAATACGGACATAGTACGTCCCAAAGCCACGGTAAAACCTCAAAAGCCCCTCCTCCTTCGCAACCTTCCTGAAGCAATCGAACATACCCTTATAAGGCATGGTGCCATCCGGCCCCTTCGTCTGCTTCTGCAGCCTCGTCTTCATAAAGTCAAACGGCAGCGACAGGAACGACGCAAAGAAGCCCGCAACCGCCGACGCAGTAAGAGTCTGTGTGCGCGACGACAAAGACGTGTTCTTGAGCTGCTGTTTGGCTTCAGAGAAGAAGGCTAATTGGCCAAAGTTGAGGGCCATGGCGCGGACGACGGTCGGGTAGCTGCCGGCCCATAACCGTGTGACGCCTTCTTGCTTGCTGATGCGGACGAGGGCGTCGATGACGGAGGTGTAGTTTGCGCGTTGGGCGACGGGTTTCAGGCCGTCGGATTGCATGCGGATGAGGGCGAGGTCGGCCGGGTTGCCCACGATGGCGGCGAGACCTCCTGCAGCTAGACCCGCGCCTGCGCGCTCTTTGAAGCCGATGGCTGTGCCGTTTTCCTTGGCGCGCGCGCTTAGTTTCTTCATGAATGTGTCGAAAAAGCCTAGGCGCGCGGTTGTGTAGACGGCTTGGCGCAGGATTCCCGCGCTGAGGCCGGTGTAGAGGTCTAGCACTTTGCCTTGGGCGATGATGTCGCGGAAGACTGTGACGGGGGTTGGCTTAGGGCCGGTCTTTACTCCTTCTCCGGCGAGTTGTAGGCGCACTTTTACCATGTCCACGGGTTGGATTACAGTTGTTGCTGTCATGCCTGCGATGCCGCCGTTTACGAAGGGCAGTGCCGCGCGCATGAAGGGTGTGTGTAGGAAGTCGGCGGTGGCCTTCTTGGGGTTCTCGGCGGCTTTGGACATGGCGGAGGATGCGTCGCTTAGAACAGCTTCTGAAGATTGCTTTGCGTTCTCGAGAGCGCGTGCGGCGGGCATCTTAAGGGTTTGCGAAGTGGCGGCTGCTGTTGTCGACATTGCGTTGTCAGTGACAGCTTGCGCAGTCTTGATATGTGAATAGATAATGCAGGAAAGGAAGATCTGTGGGGTATATCGCTGTCGCTATGCTGTACTGGAAATAGACCAAATGTGAAGAAAGACTGTAACTAAGAAGGTAAGAAAGCCCACAAAAGCGACTCCATGGCCGGGTCTATATCCCAGCAGCATGGCACTACGACGTGCGTCCGTGAGGTGTTGGCAGAGCCTCAGCCTGAGACGCAGTTCCCATGCGCCTTACACCGCGGCCGTGGACGTCGCAAGCTAGCCGGCTACGATCTAGATGTACAGCTTCGCTCGGCGCACAGGAAAGAATGTCATCGGACATGTGTGCATTTCCGAAGGCGCGCGCACGTGCGATAACCCTTCTCTTTCCGATTGCACCCGCGGCGATCGCATTGTGGATGCTCAAAGACGGTGAAGAGGAAGATGGGACGTTGGGTGCGTACCTCGTGCGCTGACGTCTGTGCGGAGGATCCAGTCCGCGTCGGAGAAGTGGGGTGTGGGTCGCGGGTTTAGTGGGTAGGGTGGTATGCGCTCTACTACCCGCTTTCTAGCATCAAACGAGTATGCGACGATGCAACTTGGATTAAAGCAGCAGAGGAGATAGATTTATGGACGAGGCTGTGAGTGAAGAGGCTCGGAGGACAAAAGCAGCACGATGATCTGTTGTTCTTAGTTGTCAACAGGCCCAGCCAGTCGACCGGTGCCATGAACTGAGGGGTGGGCTGCGTTTCCCCGCATCGCAGAGCTGCCCCAGCGAGCCACTGATATGAACTGCTGCTCGTCCTACCTGATGCCAATTGCTGTTGGGCCAATCGGGTTACGTTGATTTCTGGAACTCTGATGCCATTCTTACTTCACAGGCTCCCATGTTGAAGTTTAACGTGCACGGCGGAGCGGGACGAGCTGGGCGCATTGATGTCGCGTGTCCATGCCATCCGGTCTTCCTTGCACCGTCGAGGCTCTCATATCATTGCGCAATGTCTTGCTCGAGTAATACACGATCTTCAGGCACAGAGTATCCCGTTTCCAGTGCGCCACATGCGGAACCGCTTGCATGTGAGCGATGACGTTTGTTGTAACGGCAGCCTTCGGCCAATCGAACGATCGCAGCTTCAACGCAGCGCATCCTGTCACATGTCATGAACAATACTGTGAGCGGACCTGTGCTGCAGTACACCACGTTGTGGTTGCGGTACCCTGTTACTAGGTGCAGTGACCTCACTGTGCTTTTCCGGATGAGACTGCGGTTTCCGCGCGCACAACGTGCATCCGTGCGTCGTTCCAACCCGTCGTGCGTGTGAGCGCATTGCTTTTCATTCGTTGGGTATTGATAAACCACCGTGTCGCAGATCGGAATGAACTGGCGAGATCGCTTTCTTTTGGGCGAGATCCAGGGTCCTCAGTGCTGGACGGGGCGGTGCTGAGGCCTTTCGCCCAGGTGCGCGGTTGAAGTTGCAACCACCAGTGACCCGAAGGTATCCGCGGCCGAAGACATTCTGAGTGACGACAGGCTGTGAACTACTTTGTGAGCGGAAGAATATTGTAGCGAAATGTCATGCAGGGCACCAGATCTAGGCCGACACCATGTCCGTGGGTGAATGGTAGGTCAGCTAGTTTTCGGCACAGGGTCGGGAATGTGGAGGCGCCCGGCCGGTCTGAACGCTTGCAGAAGAAACGAAAGAGTTGCGCAGGTGCTGTTGAGAGGATTGATGCCTGACTACGGGGCAAGTACTACTGCGCATAGATTGCGCGGCCTCTCTGTTGTCTCAACATATTCCGCTGGATTCAACTATGTCTTTACACCATTGGGTATCATTGAGCCCGTCCGAAACCGAAACGCCATTCCCATCGTGCATAGGCTAAACCGACATCTCGCTATCACTCGGAGATCCGAGGTCCTCGATAATGCTTGACTCTGGCGGCTGTTGAGTCCCCGGAACCTGCAGTCTCGAAGCCGATCCAGATAGATAGTCGCTCCCATCGACTTGTTGAGCCTCACGAGGGGCTTGCACCTCTTCGTCGGAGTCGTCACCTTCAAGTTCAGCTGCTAGCATGCGCTTGATCCTGCGAGCAATAATAGTGTCCTTGCGCACGTCGTCTTTGGTCAGTAACTAAGAAGCAGTGTCAGTATAGGTCTCTGAAAATATTGAAATGCGGGGGATAGACTTACCTGTGAGCAACCATTGACTGGGCATTCAATGGCTCTCTGACCGTCCACCCTGTGACCGCCCGATCGGATCATATCGAGAACGGCATTCTTCTCAAAGGTATGGGGACACTTTGTACTTGTGTATGGGTCCTTGAACTGCTGGTATGTGATGGGGCACCTCGTGCTGATGGTCGCTTTGTCTACTACGATGTCATCGTCGTCGTCGAGGTCGCCTCGCCGTGTGTCTGTAATGCCAGGCGCTGGCGACCCGGACTCATTGAACCAGGTGTCTTCATGACCAAGTGTGGGACCCTCGTCGCCATATTTGGCATCGTGTACCGTACGCTTGAACTCGCGGTAATCGTTGTTGCGTGCATAGCGCGCTGTGTAGGAGAGTGACGTGTAGGCATCCTTGTCGCGCTGCATACGATCCGCAAACAGCTCACTTGCGCCTGTGAGAGCTACGCGAGAGCCATCGAGGGGTGTAGGACCGGGCGTAGGTCTGTCGTCCATATCCTCGTCGTCACCCTCGTTTTGTGCCCGCTGGCTTGCTGCCTGAGTCTGGGTTTGCCTTTGTGTCTCCCGCTGTGTCATCTGCGTCCGAT